GGCCTTTTAAGTCCATACTTCTCAGTGTTCCCAAGAACAAGTCTGGCAATGATCAGGAGCATCTTGTCGACCATATGAAGTGGCAGCCATTTCATCAGGGAAATTGCAACTTCAAAAGTTGATTTTCCAAGTATTTCTCTTGGCAATATGTGAACCTGTGGATCAACATAAATTATACAACTTCCAAGTTAAATTTAACAGATAAAGCTTCGTTTTTAGATGGAATTGGAACGAAAAGTTCAACTTTTAAAAGTTTTCAATGCCTTTTTTGGTTAAGCTTTTTTAGATGGAATTGGAACGAAAAGTTCAACTTTTAAAAGTTTTCAATGCCTTTTTTGGTTAAGCTATGTTCATATTGAATTTATAAATCTACATCAGAAGTGAGTTGGCTTGAGTTATTTGATGTAACTTAAGTTGACTTACCGAACTTCGTACCACCATTGATGGCTTGGCGTCATGGTTACAAAGATCAAGTGAGATTTCCATGCCGGAGTTCCCACATCCGACAACAAGCACCCGTTTGCCATGGTAAGCCTCGCCAGATTTGTAGTCACAAGCATGCATAACATGGCCGCCAAACTCCTCCATCCCTTCAAACTCTGGCACAACCTTCTCAGAATTCTCGCCGGTGGCGACGACCAGCCACCGACAAATGTACTCAACCTCGGTTGGCTTTGGACTCAACGAAACGGTTTTGACTCGCCACAGACCAAAAGTTTCATCATACTTGGCTGACTGCACAGTCTCATTGAAACGTGGGGTGATATCAAAATGGTTGGCATAGGATTCCAAGTAGGAAATGAACTGAAACTTGGAAGGGTAAGCAGGAAACTCCTCTGGGAAAGGGAAGTTGGGAAGTTGACAGAATTGCTTTGGAAGGTGAAGTTTGAGACGATCATAGGTCCTGTGTTGCCAAAGAGAGGCAATGCAGTCAGCTCGGTCAACGACAACGAATGGGACGCCTTGTTGTTTGAGAGCTGCAGCTACAGACAACCCAGATGGTCCTGCTCCGACAATCACCGGTCCATTGACCCATATACACCGATGATCAAAGAAGCCATCATCAATGGTGTGAGCCAATGGTGGGATACTGATACAAGTACTGTTATGAGTCATAATAGTATTTGTGTGTGTTGTTAACAGGGATGGATAGAAAGAACAAGAGGATAAATTTAAAAGGGGGTCGAAGAGAATAGAATAGAATATAGTGTACTTTTCTTTAAGATGGAGAAAGCTGAATGTGTGGAAGGGGAAGAAGGCGTTGGAAGTGCTTAAATAGGCAGCTAAGAGAAGAGTTTGGCCAAATGAGAGAGAAGCATGTGATGTGAATTTGGAGAAACAAAAAGAAATTATAAACTTTGTGGTCTCTTTCTTCTGAGGTCCAAAGCATTTATTTTGTCTGATTTAAACCCATATTTTATGCTAAACAGAGAGAGAGAGAGAGATAGAGAGATTTTTTAATAGTTGATGCTTAGAAGTTGTAAACCAGGGGCTCTCTTGTGCTGCTTGTATCTTGCCAAAGATTTTCTTTCAAACTTATTCTATTTCTTTCTGATTCTTTAGAGAATTTATTCTATGATCTTAGCTAGAAACTTGGACTTGAAATGACTCAAAAAGGAATCCATTTTTGTAACCATCCAAGGTTACTCCTAGTAGAGATTGTCTTTTTTGGGTTACCTTTCAAGGTTTTTAAAACGCGTCTGTTAGGGAGAGATTTCCACACCCTTATAAAATATGTTTTGTTCTCCTCTCCAACTGATGTGGGATCTCACAATCCATTCCCTTTGGGGCTCAGCATCCTTGTTGGCATCAAGCCTCGTGTCTTCGTGTCCACCCCCTTTCGAGGCTCAACCTTCTCGCATTGCCCAGTGTCTAGCTCTGATACTATTTGTAACGGCTTATGCCCATTGCTAACAAATATTGTCCTCTTTGGA